TAAAGATAAAAAATATTAATTCCATGTTATGATCTAAAGGAGATCATTGCAAGTGTTATCTATTTAAGATCAAAGTCATTATGTAAGATTTCGACTTGGTGGTGAAAATACAAATTTTGCTAAATTGTCTTAGAAATATAAAAAAGAAAAAGGAAAAACGTCCCTGAAGGTTAAAAAAAAAATGATAACAAATTATTCATTCTCAGTAAGAATCCTTTTTAGATACTCTCAACTCATGGTAATTTTCATAACTAGATGAACAATTTCAAATAAATTTCAAATGGACTTTTTTGTTACATCTATATCATTTATAAATAACACATATATTTTTACTGTTGAATGTAGGGCTATAGCTATACAAAAGGATTAAGCATTGGACTAATGAAATACCTATGGCAATCAGTTTGTGATATCAAAGGATCAAACGGCATTATTAAAGTCGTCCTTAAAGAAGGTCCGAGACATGAAATAGAATAATTAAACCACGAAATTTAAATATTGTATAATTCCACATACCTTGATATGACCTTGCTAATATGCCTCGCACTTAACTACTATTAATATATCTTGTGTTTCTCTTTTTTTATATTTAGATCAATGCAAACGCATTTAATGGTGCACATAAACTGAGCTTCATCGAGTTACTCTGCAACCATCTACGTACCTTCAACCGATATGCACTAAATGGCACAGAGAACGTTCTTTCCATCAACCTAGGAATGAATAACCTCAGTTCCATAGAGAAGGGGACCTTTCAACTAGTACTGAAGCTAGAACTCATCGACCTCTCCTGGAACAACCTGACTTATCTGACTCCTGCTGTATTCCAAGATTTAAAAAACCTTAAATTTCTATTTCTCAGCAATAACAAACTTGTTGATCTTCCTAAAGACATTTTCAAGGACCAATCATCCTTAATCAAATTAAACCTATCCAACAATTTGTTATCCAGCCTATCATATGGCCTTTTCACAAATTTGGAACGATTGGAAAGCCTTGATCTTTCTGCAAACAGATTAATAGCTATTACTTTCACTCTTCCAAATATTAATGATTTATATTTGCTTAAAGGAAAAGTATTATTGTGACGAATTTGAAGATCAATATGTGATCAATTTAGCTCTAAAAATCCCGGTTCTGAACTAGTTAAAAAGTAGGTAAGAAGGAACGTGAAGTCTGGGATGCGAGTGAATAATGATAAAGAAAACAATTGGGAGATATTCAAAACAGAGTGAAAGCAGAAAGCAATGTAAAATTAATTTCTTGCCTGCGTGCATTTACATGTATGTAAAATAAAACTATGAGGCTTCCTTACATGACCCGTATTCAAACGGAGGGGGGGGGGGGGAACGTTTGCAAAATAAATCGGCTGAAGCTATGGAGAAATAAAAATCTATTTTACATTTGCATGTATTTCTGTTTCAGTTTTTTAGTTTTGTCAATGACTACCTTTTATAGGAGTGTGCTTTCACGTAGTACTTTGTATTCTGGTCACACTGTTATAAACACTGTTGCTGACAGAAAACAAAAATGGTGCTCATGATTATACAAAACACAGGGTTTGTATTATATTGTACATAATCTCAGCAAAAAAAGTGGACACTCTTTAATGTTAAATGTTCATAAGTTGATAGAATATAATAACATATATATCATATGAAAGGAAAATTAATACTCTACCAATATTATTTCAGATCAAGTTTTGAACTTTGACGCTTGGATGGGCACGTTCATATAACCGTTTGAAGCAAATATAGAGCAATGAGTCACTCAAATGTTGATGAACATGTGCATTCTGTAAGATATACCTGTTCAACAATGAAAACCGAGAATGAGAAACAATGAGGAGGATTGAGCTCAGGATGTCAACTGTAGTCTAATAACTGCATGGTTTTGACAAGCATGGTAAACATGTGTCTCCTTTACTTTCTTTTAAGTTTTTTCTTTTGGACTCTACAATATGGAAATGCTCATCAATGTTTGAATGCCAAATGCCCCAATTTTTTCCATTTTCTTTCAGCCACATATTTATTGTTAAATGGCTATGCTCTCCAATGCGTGAATGATGTGATTCCGATTACATATCATCTTACAGAAGATTAATGTTTGTGTGATAACTATGAAAGATAAATTTATATTCAATTTTTATTTGAAAAAGCGTAATTATAAATCGTTCCAACTTTTTAAATGTGTTTTAGTGTATATAATTCTTGTTATATTTATATACAATATTTTTCTGACATAATGTTTATATATAATAGTTTTTCTGCAAAATGTTCATGTAATTTTTATATCAATATGAATCGTCAAAATTTATGGGTTTTTGAACAGTTTTGATAAATACATGTACATTTGGAATAACACAATGAAACCGATTTTGTTACTTGTTTTTATTTCTTCATTTTAATTTCATTTAAATACAAATAACACGTTGAATTCATAGTACAAATACATGTATCTGCACACACACACATACGCACACACACACACACACGCACACAAATATCTCCGAAAAGGTAAAGGATTTTTCTTCATGCACCTAACATAAAACTACATACATTTACATTAATTCATACAGACAATGTTAGCAATTTCGCACTCGAAAAAATATCCTAGTTATAGTTGTGTCTTTCTACGTTGGAAGGGTGGGTGTGGGCGATATTTGTGTGTGGAGACTGGAGAGCACTTTACGTGTTAATCTAAGTTTTGTTTTCCTTTCTAGTGAGCAGGATGTGCATGTGTTTGTATGTGCGTACGTGTAAGTGTAAGTGGATGGGAAGGGCGGGGTGGTGCCAAATGTGATAGGGTGGAGTGGACAAGGGTCTTTAGGGGAAGGGTTTTTTAGTAGATGTCCCTTTGAGTTGAGGCCAATTTGGTGGTCGAAGGAGGGAAGATATAGGAACTTATAGTACTCATTGTATGATAGATTCTGCTTTGTTGTCTTGAATGTTTTGCTATATGGTGCCCATCCTTGATTATTAATATTATCAGCGTCTCTTTGTTTCCATTCATCGTTATGGAATGGATTTGAGTTTTGTATTTATTTTTCTTTTTTCTTTCTGTATTGAATTGTTTAATGAGATATAAGTAAACTGTATCGAGAACAAAACAAAAATATAAAAATGTTTTTTTGGGGGAGGGAGCGGACACTTTTTTTTTTTTTGGTAGTCCAAAAAAAAATCGCAACGACTCAGCCAACCGAAAAGTCGCTCAGTGGGGGGGGGGGGGGTCTCAAAATTTGAAAATTTTACATTTTTTTTTCGTTGGGGGGGGGGGTAAGGTCACTTTAACCTTAGCCGTGGGCATATTTTTTTTTTTTTTTTAATTTAAAAAAAAAGGGGTTTTAGTTTTTTTTTAAAGGGGTTTACACACATAAAAATACCAAAGGGGGGGTTGAACCCCCAAACCCCCCCCCCCCCTGTGTACGCCCCTGTACGAGATCATTGTGATTCGGCAAAAGAGATCGCCAGAGTACAAGGCATAATAGAACTAAGTGAACCGTCATATTCTTGTCATATTTTCAAAAAGCATTTATTGTTTACTTAATGCATATAAACAGCACTGCGCACTTTGAACTTTCCGTTAGTATTGCGATATTGCAGTTTTATCGTGTGTAGCAGTGGAAACAGTTAGACGGATGAATAGAAAAAAATGAATGTTTGGATTAGTCTTGATACTCCGAGACTCATTTGTGCATATACGTCCAAAAGTAACTTAAATATTGTAAACAAATCAGACCGTTTCCAACAAACACCATCATTGTATTTATATTATAGCACACTTGGGCAGCGATTGAAGGCACATCCTGCCCCTTTCCGAATACAAACAGATTGTAATGGCCCCGTTAACCATTTTCAACTCGCAATTATATATCATGAGTATTCATCGTGACCTATATGGCGTAGCCTGTGTCCAGACAATGAGGGCTGGCACCTGCATCATTGAAGGGGGCGGTAACGGTTGGCGGATGAAATACAATAAAGAGAATAAATGTAAAGGCTTACACCGAGGGGAGGGTGTGGGTGGGGTCATAATCATCTCTTTTTTCAAATATGGTCAACCTTTTTCTTCTCCCTATCTATCTCTCTATTTCTTCTCTTCTTTTATTTAGGGAGCCTATATAACCCCCCCCCCCCCTGTAGCTAAGTCATTATCTCGGACAAATTACTGGTTGATCATAGAATTTGGTGATAAGTTTTTATTTTATGAAGCCATGCATTAAATATTAATTTAAAGATGCAAACCTGATTGTTCACAGGATGGTAATTAAATTTCATGAAAAGCGGCTAAATCATGAAATAAAAAATAGTCCATTTTGTGTTTTTGTTTTGCGCCTAGACCTTGGCTTCAGAGGGGAGGGGGTCAGACATTCGGGAAGATTATTTTCTTCCTCTTACGTTGAAAATGCCAATAATATGAGATTTTCCTTGAAAAATGTCCTCACTTTAATAACTGCGAAGTTATGAATTATCCTTTTTCTTGGTTCACACTTATTATGTAAATAATGTTTTTTCTTCCTCTTCTCGTTGATTTTCATTGCTTTTTTTTACATTCCCCTCCTTCTTCACTGTGTAGACTATATTTTAGACTACCTCTACCACGAGGCTCCCGGATCACAGACTTTGTTTCTTCAGACACTTGTGTTGGCCGACATGTATACAGAAATATTAATTGTTTGATTTTATTTACAAAGCCCATTCACAATGTAGCCAAAACGATATGTCTATCACCAGAGCGGCATAATAGATGTAAACCGTCATATTCATGTCATATTTTCGAAAAAGCATTTATTGTTTCCCGGATGCATAAACAGCACTGTGTGCACTTTGAACTTGGCGGTTAATTGAAATGTATGCAGTTACCTTTAAATACAATTATGCTGGATCACATGATATGATTCAACCAATAGTAGTGTTGACAATAGTGCTATGAATATGTATACAAAATGCGACGGCGGGGCATTTAAATTTCATTTGATATTGGTACGATCGAGCAACGACCACAAACTAAACATGGCCTCCGTTAAAACTACAAATTCTAGAATGTCTGTGTTCTCTGTGTATATAGCGTCATTTTCAGAGCAAGGAGTCAAATCCTTTACTATATTTCTTACCATCTTGATCATGTGCCTGTGTCAGTGCGTTGAATCTCAACGCTCGTCGCCTTGTCATAGAAAATGTTCATACGTTGAAGCTTTTCAGCAGGCCAACTGTGAGTACAGGTCATTGGACACTATACCCATCGAATGCAATGCTGCTTCGTACTTGTCTCTCCGTTACAATCACATCACCGTAATCGAACCTGAGATTTTCAGAGGCTTTCCATTCCTGAAGTACCTTTTGTTGTCTAACAACAACATATCACACGTAAGTACCGCCTTGCAATTAGTACCATTATCAATGTAAATATATATATATAAATTATGTTGTTATTAGTTAGAGCAATATAAGGGAATGTATCTATAGAGATTGAGATATATGAAGAGACTCCACTTGAAGAAGGGAGAGAGGGGGAGAGGAGAATAAGGCAGAACAAAAGAGAAGGAGAGATAGAGAAATATCAATGAACCCGTACGTAGTGTATAGAGTTCAATGGAAAATATGGAGTGTATTTTGGTTTTCTATTCATAGAGTTCAGGAGAAAAATTGAGTTTTGGGGGTATTGTCTTCATAATCTAACAAGAACCTGGACTGGTCATCGAAAGAAAACAAATATTTGAAACGTAGACTTGTAAACTAAAGTCCAAGGTTGAATTAAATATAATTGTCATGTATATGATCCATAGAACTACATGTATGTTCTCAGTATTTGCTATTTGGGGGTATGGAAACCCGTTGAGACTGTTAGAATAAGACAGTTGTAGTCTAATTCAACTTAACCATAAGTTACTCCGATGCACAGGATTTCAAGCGTAGTACATTGAAACTATAAATTGCTTGTATGTTGTGTTCAAATACTGTAGGCTACGACCAATGAAATGATAACTGAAATTCAAAACGGCCGTTGAAATTCAAACACAATGGCCGGGTATTCCCCTCAGATCAGTTATACTGTGCACATTGTGATGGCACAGTACAGGTGTGAGCACATTTTACTGTAGCAGAAGTGGTAGCAGAGGAGCCGCTCCCGGGAAGTGGGGGGGGGGGGGGGCAGGGGGCATAGTGCCAGAGGCGGCCCTCCGAGGAGGGGGCAAGGGGCACAGTGCCCCCACACTTTTTCAAGCACTCCAAAAGTGCCCCTCTTTACATAGGAAAGTGCCCCTTTTAATTTGGCAAGTGCACATATTACTTTGTAAAAGAGCCCCTTCCCCTTTTCACCTTGGTACTTGTAATCCCTTTGGCAGCTCACTCGGGAATCTATACTAGAATGGTAGGTGAGGCGAGTAACTATAAGGAGTGTCATGAATTGCAGGAATGGTGTGTGGACAAAGCACTCGTTAATTTACAGTAAAATGTGCTAAGTCCAGTGCAAGTAAAAACCAAGCTAGTAAGCTTATATGATGTGGGAACCAACAGGGGGCTGCATCATTCTGATGGAGGGTAGAGCAGCTGAGCAACTGCTGAGCCTGGCAGATGATTCCAGATCCTTATTGCATCTGATGAGTGCCCTTGTTATATTGACATGTGCCCCTTTTCCGTCGACAAGTGCCCATTTATAAGTGTCTATTTTCCATTCACATAAGTGCCCTTTTTCCATTATCATGAGTGCTCTTTTCAATCTCTAGTAAGTGCCCCATTTTAGGTACGAGAAATGCCCCTTTTAATTTTTGGTAAGTGCCCCCTTCACGTCTGATAATTGCCCAATTCAAATCTGAGAGGTGCCTCTTTTACTTTGACAAGTGCCCCTTTTCTTTTGTAAGAAGTGCCCCTTCCCCTGTTAATAACTACCTCTGTTTAACCCGAGTTAAACAGAGGTATTATTTATTTGTGCCCCTTTTCCATTCAAATAAGTGCCCCTTTTCCTTATGACAAGTGTTCCATTAAAAAATCCCTTCCCCTTCTCATAAATGCTCCTCTTTTATTTCTGGTAAATGACCCTTTCCAGGTACGAGAAGTTACTCTAGGAGCGATTTCCCCCAAAGCTTTGATCGCTATGCTCGCTCGCATTTATAGATGATATAATTATGTTACTTATCAAAGGTCTGTTCATTCTTCCGGTATTAGCAATTTTCTTATATCCCAATCAAGATTGGGGTTTTTCCTCTTTAGAAGATGTAATTTTTCGCATTGAGACCTAACAGGGAAGTGACCCTTTTACTTTGACAAGTGCCCGTTTTTTGTGAGAAGTGTCCCTTCCCCTGTTAATAACTATCTCTGTTTAACCCGAGTTAAACAGGGGTAACCACACCTTTTGTTTTCACATGTGCCCCTTTCCCATTCAATAAGTGCCCTTTTCCTTATGACAAGTGCCCCATTAAAAAAGAGGCCCTTCCCCTTCTCATAAATGCCCCCTTTTTATCTCTGGTAAATGACCCTTGCCAGGTTCGAGAAGTTACTCCTTTTCACTTCAGACAAGTGCCCCCTTCACCTCCGATAACTGCCCATTTTCAAACCTGAGAGATGCTCATTTTACTTTGACAAGTGCCCATTTTCTTTTGTAAGAAGTGCCCCTTCCCCTTTTAATAACTACCTTTGTTTAACCCGAATTAAACAGGGGTAACCACACCTTTTATTTTCACATTTTTCCTTTTTGACAAGTGCCCCATTAAAAAAGAGCCCCTTCCCTTTTTCATAAATGCCCCCTTATTATTTCTGGTAAATGACCCTTTCCAGGTACGATAAGTTACTCTGGGAGCGATTTCCTCCAAAGCTTGATCCCTTCGCTCGTTCGCATTTATAGATGATATAATTATGTTACTTATCAAACGTCTTTTCATTCTTCCATTATTAGCAATTTTCTTATAACCCCATCAGGATTGGGTTTTTTCCTCTTTAGAAGATGTAATTTTTCGCATTGAGACCTAACAAATCTTTAAATTTGTTGAGAGGTGACCCTTTTACTTTGACAAGTGCCCTTTTTCCTTTGAAAGAAGAGCCACTGGCTCTTAGAATAACTATCTATTTTTTAACTCGGATAAGCGCTCCTTTATTATTTATTATTTATTATTATTTATTTATTTATTATTATTATTATTATTTATTTGCCTTTATGTGCCTTTTCCTTTCTAATAATTTCCCCTTTTCCTTATGATAAGTTTCCCCCCCCCCCCCCCAATTTTATAAAATAGAGCTGCTTCCCCTTTTTATAAATGCCCCTTTTCATTTTAATAAGTGCCCCCTTCACCTCCGATAATTGCCCTTTTTCCTTTGAAAGAAGAGCCACTGGCTCTTTGAAAAACTACCTCTTTTTAACTCGGATAAGCGCTCATTTTATATTCACATGTGCCTTTTCTTTTCTAATATGATAATTCCCCCCATTTTTATAAAATAGAGCCCCTTCTCCTTTTTATAAATGCCCCTTTTAATTTTCATAAGTGCCCCTTTTCAACCCTGGTAAATTAACTTTTTCAGGTACGAGAAGTTACTCCTTTTCACTTCAGATAAGTATCCCTTCACCTCCGATAATTGCCCATTTTCAAATCTGAGAGATGCTCGTTTTACTTTGACAAGTGCCCCTTCCCCTCCTGATAAGTGCTTTTTTAATCTCTACAAACTACCCGTTTTCCTTTCTAATAAATGCTCTTTTTCTTCTTATAAGTGCGTCTTCCCCTTCTTATAATTACCCCTTTTCATCTCTGATAAGTGCCCCGTTTATTTTAACATGTGCCTCTTTTTCTCTTTTTGATAAGAGCCACTTCCCCTTTTGCATAAAAGCCCCATTCACTTCCGAAAAATGCCCCTAAAAAAATCTGATCGGTGCTCCTTTTTCTTCAAATGGACATTTTCATTTATCATAAGTGCTCGTTATTCATTCTCATAAGTGCTCTTTTTCATTCCTAGTGAGTGCCTCATTTCAGGTGTGAAAAGTGCCCCATGTTCACCTCTGATCAGGCGCGTACGCAGGATTTTTTCAAGGGGGGGGGGGTTTAACATTTATAAATCGGGCCGAAAATTTCGCAACGACTCAGCCAGCCGCTAAATAAGCGGGGGGGGGGGGGGGGGTAAGAAGTCACTTTTTTTTTTTTTTTTGGTATCGAAATTTGAAAATTTGACATTTTGCTCCGTTGGGGGGGGGGGGGGGTAAGGTCATCTTTTTGAGGTCAGCCATGGGAATATTTTTTTTTTTTTTTTGGTATCGAAATTTGAAAATTTGACATTTTGCTCCGTTGGGGGGGGGGTAAGGTCATCTTTTTGAGGTCAGCCATGGGAATTTTTTTTTTTTTTTTTTTTTTTTTTTTTAATAATAAAAAAATAAAAAAAATAAAAGGGGGATGTTTTAGGGAAATTTAAGGGGGGTTTACACACAAAAAAATACCAAATTTTACAAAAAGTATACGAGAAAAAAAAAGAAAAAACAATTGAAAGGCGTAAATATTCTCAAAAAGATTGAAATGCCGATAACACCAACAAAAAAAACACAACTGCGACCCCTGTGTACGCGCCTGCCTCTGATAATTACCCTTTGTAGTTTGACACGTGTTTCTTTTCTTTTCTAATCAGTGTTGCATCCCTTTCGATAAGTGTCCCCTTTTACTTTCATCATTAAACGTCCATAATTTAAAGCAACCTCGAGCCATTTCCCCGAAAGTTCGCTCACATTTATAAATGACATAATTAAGTTACTTATCAAAGGTCTTTTCAGTCTTCCATTATGAGAAAATTTCTTTTACCTCCATCTGGATTGTGTTTTTTCCTTTAAAAGATGTAGTTTTTGCACTGATTAAGCTATTAAAAAAAAGAGGAAAAGGAAAGAAAGGGAAGAAGAAGGGATAAGAGAAATGAAAATATGTTTAAAAAAATAGAGATTTATGAAGAGAACGAATTTTACAAAAAGTATACGAGAAAAAAAAAAAAAAAAACAATTGAAAGGCGTAAATATTCTCAAAAAGATTGAAATGCCGAAAACACCAAAAAAAAAAAACACAACTGCGACCTCAGATTTTTTATAGGGGCAGGTGGAGGGGATTTATGAGAAGGGGATGGGGCACTTATAAGAAGGAAAAAGAGCATTTTCAGTAGGAAGGAAAAGGGGCACGTGTCAACACATAAGGGGAAGTTATTGAAGATGGAAAGAGCACTTATCAGGAGGAATAGGGGCACTCAAAGTAAAACGAGTCCCTCTCAAAATTTAATAGAGTCATTACCAGAGATGGAAAGGGGCTATGAGAATGAAAAGGGACTGTTTTCATTAATGAAAAGGTGCGCTTATCCGAGTTAAAAAGGGGTAGTTATTAAAAGGGGAAGGGGCACTTCTTAAAAAAAGGGGGTACTTGTCAAAGTAAAAGGGGCACCTCTCATATTTGAATAGGGCAATTATCTGAGGTGAAGGGGGCACTCATCAAACGTGAAAAGGGGCACTAACTAGAGATGCAAAAGGGCACTTATAAGAATGGAAAATGGACACTTATTTCAAAGGAAAATGGTAACTTGTCGAAGGAAAAGGGGTACGTGTGAAAATAAAAGGGGCACTTATCAGAGGTGGAAAGGGGAAGGGGCACTTTTAAAAATTAATAGGGGCACCTTTAAAAGTAAAAGGGGCACTTTTGGGGTACTTCAAAAAGTGGGGGCACATATGCAAAATAAACGAATCAAATCAAAACAAAGGAAAACATAATTGCCATGGGAAACTATGAAGAATAAGAAAAGAAAAAAAACATGAATGATTATAAAGTACAAATACAAACTAACAATAATGAATAAAAAGTAGATAATTATCAGAGAAGGGGATGGGGCACTTATAAGAAGGAAAAAGAGCATTTTCAGTAGGAAGGAAAAGGGGCACGTGTCAACACATAAGGGGAAGTTATTGAAGATGGATGGGGATGGGGCACTTATAAGAAGGAAAAAGAGCATTTTCAGTAGGAAGGAAAAGGGGCACGTGTCAACACATAAGGGGAAGTTATTGAAGATGGAAAGAGCACTTATCAGGAGGAATAGGGGCACTCAAAGTAAAACGAGTCCCTCTCAAAATTTAATAGAGTCATTACCAGAGATGGAAAGGGGCTATGAGAATGAAAAGGGACTGTTTTCATTAATGAAAAGGTGCGCTTATCCGAGTTAAAAAGGGGTAGTTATTAAAAGGGGAAGGGGCACTTCTTAAAAAAAGGGGGTACTTGTCAAAGTAAAAGGGGCACCTCTCATATTTGAATAGGGCAATTATCTGAGGTGAAGGGGGCACTCATCAAACGTGAAAAGGGGCACTAACTAGAGATGCAAAAGGGCACTTATAAGAATGGAAAATGGACACTTATTTCAAAGGAAAATGGTAACTTGTCGAAGGAAAAGGGGTACGTGTGAAAATAAAAGGGGCACTTATCAGAGGTGGAAAGGGGAAGGGGCACTTTTAAAAATTAATAGGGGCACCTTTAAAAGTAAAAGGGGCACTTTTGGGGTACTTCAAAAAGTGGGGGCACATATGCAAAATAAACGAATCAAATCAAAACAAAGGAAAACATAATTGCCATGGGAAACTATGAAGAATAAGAAAAGAAAAAAAACATGAATGATTATAAAGTACAAATACAAACTAACAATAATGAATAAAAAGTAGATAATTATCAGAGAAGTGTATTGTAAACCGAGAGTCTGATTGACTCTCCTCCCAAAGGTCAGTTCCCCCCCCCCCCCCTCCCCCGCTACCTAGGTGGTGACATGATGTGTTTTTTTTAAACATTTTTATTCTCTATAGTTTTCGGTTCCTGTAAAATTGTGTTCCAGCATTTCGCCGCTCTATAACTTAAACTCCTTATTTTATAATTCGTTTAACCTTTAGGTAATGCGAATTTATGAAAAGAGTGTCGGGTATCATACACGGGGTTGCGCTTTTCAAAGAAACGTAGAATAAGTTTTGGTGCATTATTATAAAATATTTGGTGCATCACTAATACTATTAATGTCCTTTTTTATCTTTCTAAAATGTTATCTAAATTCAAAAATAGGAAAAGCTGATCTGTTGAGAATATTGGGTCTTTCCTTAAAACAATTGTTAGCGCTTTATTTTGTAAAGTTTGAAGTTTTCTTAAGTTCGTAACCCCTGTATTTGCATAGATATCACAGTAATCAAAATGATATTGTATATCACGGATTTATAAAAAAAATTCTGCTTGGCGTTGTGCAATAATCGGACAAATTCTCCTTAGTATATATGATTTAAACAAAACTTTTTTCATATTCCGTTGATATATAGGTTTCATCTTAGATTCTAATGGGTGTAGAATTTACAACAAAATATTTTGGAGGGAAAAGAATTGTATTGCACATAGATAGGGTAGATTCTACTTTTTTCCCTCATAATAGGCACTTTGGCCCTATAACTTCAAATGAAGTAAAGTTCGACTGATCACAATAAGAATAATAGTACATCTTTCTTTAACCCAATTGCCTTATTAGGTCTTGACATTGATTCAGGAAATCGCCTCTAATGACCAAATTTAATGGGCACCTAAAACACATTGTAATGGTGTTATGTTACTTTACAAAATCGATATATTATGAGGGGATTTTCGCCTCAATATGGGTAATATTAAAAGTGCCTAGCGCCAACCCCCCCCCCCCCCCCAACCCCTCCGCGCTTGAAAAAATGTATAGGTTTTTATTACAGTATAAACAAAAACAAATGTTATGCTGGAGATTATTTACGAGGTCTCTCTAAAACAAAATCTTCTCTCTTATCTTACCTCCTGCAGATCGAAGCAAATACATTTATTGGGGCACCTCAACTCAAGTCAATCAAGCTTCTCTACAACAATCTACAAATATTCGATGGATATGCGCTGAATGGAACAGAAAATAGTCTCCGACACATCTACCTGAGAAGGAATTCCCTACGAGTCATAGAAAACGGGACCTTTCAACTCGTGCCGAAGCTTGAGGTTATCGACCTCTACCAGAATCACCTATCTCAACTGACTTCAGGGGTCTTCCAAGAATTAAAGAACCTCGAACGTCTTTTCCTCGGCATGAACAAACTCCTTGATCTTCCTGAAGATATCTTCAAAGACCTATCGTCGTTAGTTTACCTAGACCTGTCCAACAATTCTCTCTCATCCCTTACCATTGATCTCTTTGTGCATATGGATCATCTGATGACCATTGATCTCTCTGGAAACAGATTGGTTGCTATTGGCAATGTTCTTAATCTTCCAAACATTCGTCTGGACTTACGTTGGAATAGTCTACTTCGACTTGACAATGTGACTTTGGAAATCTTGACAAACAATGTTGAAATTCTGTTTCTGGAAGGCAACCCTTGGGATTGCATCTGTGGCCTGGAGCCATTGCGCCAGTGGTATCAACAACTCTCCATAACCAACGATGAGGACGTCAAGATTGATAATCCAATATGTTCAAATCCAAATGAACTAGCAAATCACAATATAAGTTCTTTGAACTTTTCTCTTTGCGAGGAGATAGTAGCTAAAAGTATGGAAACTTCTACGTTGAACGTCATCCATGATGACGGTCAGAATAGAAACATCCTAATGGCTGCTGATCAGATGTTTTAAGATGTCACTAGAAGAACTGAAACTAGTAAAATAGATGGTAAATTGAATGTTATCATTGTTGTGGTTGCTGTTGTAGCGTTTGTTGTAATAATCGTTATCGTCTCTGTTATAATCCACAGGGTAGTTTTTTTTAAGAGATGTTCCAATGATACAAAAGCAAATAAAGATTCTGAAAGTAGCGGACGAGGAAACTTGGGTGGGGGCGAATCCGATATTCAAGTACAGAATAAGACAACTGTCAATGAGTTAAACGAAAGGAGAACTAGTTCATTAGATAACGAAGAAGAAGAAGATGTAAATGCACACACACCATTAACACGCGAGGGAAATCTTAGAGGCATAGATCTAACACCAAAAAAGAAATAATTATGGAGGAGAGCAGTCATAAAAAATGCAGGAAACAACTAATTTTGAATAATAGTCGTGTCACAGACAGTTATGCCTAAATACATATATTTGTAAACCCTTCCACATGGTTCCTTTATTTATTATACAATACTAAAGATTTTAAAAAATACAACATAACATTTACAATAAAGCGGAATTTTTTACTGTATCTTTTGTCCATTCAAAATATATGATAATCTTATACATAGGCCAATTAAATTATAAGATGCATTCAGAGAATTTAAATTTTAAAAAGAACAATTGAAAGTATCAAACAAGAAGTGGAGAGAAACGAAATGTCGATCTCAAAGCAGGACCATGAAACTAAATTTTGCCAATGGATTTGCAATGTGTTTGTATATTCTAATTTCATCAAGTGGCCCGGCGACCACGAACTTACCAGCCCTCAAGCCTAAATGTTAACCACGTCGATCCCCTCTCAAATCTTCAACCCACCAATCCACACCAGCGTGAGGAAAAGGGGGTTTACACAAAAGATACAATGGAGAATTAAATCAAGTGAAGGGTATACTAACAAAAAAGTAGCAAAAATCTCGTTGATAAGAGAAGTATGTATATCGATTTCTCCTTTTTCTCGTGGTATCGACCAAAAGTGCGCCTACCAGATGTATATCATTTAGTTTTCCGTTTTATTATTGCTTATACAAAAAAAATGGGTACTTGTAAATTTTGTATATGCATATTGCTTGTATTATATCTTTAGAGCGTTAGAGTTGTTATGTATAAAAACCTTCTCTTTTTTTAAATGGTGGAGATATATTTGTCGCCAGTGCCTGCTTGTGAGAAACTGAGCCCCGTCTTAAAGAGTTACGATTGATCCGAATCGATCGCAAGTCCTCCAATCAATCATAAGTTTGCAGTCTCTTATGTACATTGTTATTTTTTGATTTTTTAAAAATGGTTATTTGAAAAAAATGGTTACTTGTAAATTGTGTATATGCATATTGTTTGTATTATATCTTTAGAGCGCTAGAGTTGTACATACATGTATAAAACCTTCTATTTTTTGTTAATTGTGTCAAATATATTTGTTGCCAGTGCCTGTTTATGAGAAACTGGGCCCCGTCTTTTAAGGAGTTGCGATTGATCCGAATCGATCGCAAGTCCTCCAATCAATCGTAATTTTGCAATCTCTTATCTTTCATGTACGTAGTTGCAATTGATATCAATCACAAATAAGTTGTGGTTAATAATAATATCAACTCTTTAAAAGACGGGGCACAGTGGTCAGATATAAAACGGTATCTAATTTTTTTTTAATGATGCAAATATATTTCTTGCAAGTGCCTGTTTGTGAAAAACTGGTCTGACATAAAATAAGGTACATTAGAACCATTAATCATCCCGTATAGAATTCTAAAGTTTACCTTCATGAATTTTAAGCTGTACATACATGTATACAAATCTTTTTCGTTTTTTAATTGATGCAAATGTATTTTTGCCAGCGCGGCTTGCAACTTGTGTTTACAACCTTTTTAGTAAATATACATTTTGTTTTATTATTTCTGTCGAGACATTACAGATTCAGAATCGTAATTATGTTATTTAATGAAACGTATTTCGTGCAATTCCTGCAGAGATACATGACTATGTACCTAAACAAAGACGCTACGCAATAAACATTTTGTATTTTCCTATTTAGTCCTTTCTCTTCATATTATTTGTTTGTGTGGTTATTGTATTTGCATTCTGAAACAAGCTGTGAAAATGCATGATGAGATGAAATGAAGTAGATAGATAGGATTAGAAGATATAGGAACTTGCAGGGACAATGCATGATATGAAAATTGAGAGGGCGCGAGAGAAAGAGAGGGTTGAAAGAATAGAAGAGAAAGGAGTGGCGACCAGGCGCGTACGCAGGGGGGAGGGTTTGGGGGTTAATCCCCCCCCCCTTTGGTAATTTTATGTATGTAAACCCCCCTAAAAAAAACCTAAAACCCCCCCCCCCTTTTTTGTATAAAAAAAATTATAAAAAATTATGCTCACGGCCGACCTAAAAAAGGTGACCTTACCCCCCCCCCCCCCCAAACCTGAGCAAAATGTCAAATTTCCAAATTTCGAGACAAAAAAAAAAAGTGTCCTCTTACTCCCCCCCCCCCCCCCCCCCGCTTATTCAGCGGCTGGCTGAGTCGTTGCGAAATTTTCGGACCGATTTATAAATGTTGAAACCCCCCCCCCCCTTGAAAAAATCCTGCGTACGTGCCTGGTGGCGACTATCTTTAGTTGGGTATGGGTACACTGCAAAAATTCTAAGCATTCTCAAAACTGTAAATCTCAAACTTCTTGAATTGGAAAGTTATGAGAATGCTCTGCATTTTAGCGGGAAAGAGTTCGAGTGTTTCTGTGAATGACCCCCTCCCGAAAAATGGAATGATTCTAATAAACAAATAATAACAAAAAGTTGGAATTCTTTCATTATCAGTAGACAATACCATGTAATAGGGTAGTAGTAATCCTAAGCTTCTCATCTACAGGTAACTCTTTCTCTTTCTCTCTCTTTCTACCCCTCTCTTTCTCTCTCTCTCTCTCTCTCTCTCTCTCTTCTCTCTCACTCTTTCTGTTTCTCTCTCTCTCTCTCCAAAAACAGGGAGAAGTAACTGAATGAGCTAAACTCGTATTCTTTTGTACTTTTTAATTTTATTAAACTCTTGTCATATATCTATATAAAATTAGTTATAAGTAAGCTTATTAGTAAGCTTTCCTCTAGACTCGTCATTGCTGGTGAGGTCCACATTATGTTTATCTATACAATTTCAGGCATACACATTATCATTATGACATTGACCGATATAGTCAGCCGGAAGATCTGGACATATTTGCGTAGTGCAGGGGCTTAGGGACTGCTGCCCCCCCCCCCCACCAAACAAAAAGTTCCAAAAAAGAAAAAAAAGACAAGAAAAACCAGTAGAGTAGCTGTCACCATGGCTCTGTGCCAACATTCATTTGTGGACATTGAACGGTTAGTGCCTGGCCTGAATACATGACTCGTATTACAAGGATAGTCCGCCCCCCTTGCCATTCTGTTTTCACTGTTTTCCCTGCTTATACTCATTATATAAATAATATTTGTATCCTCCTCTTCTCGTTGATTTTCACTGCGTTTCTTACATTCCCTTATTTCTTTAGACGGATAATGACTAGCCCCTACCCGGGCCCATACCACGAGGCTCCCGGACCACCGCCACCGACATTTGTTCAGACAGAAATGTTGATATTTTGCCTCCTTTTCGAGGAACAGCAATTCTGCTCATAATCTATCTTCACCTTGTAATAATATTTACATGTGCACTGACAATGACTAATGATTGATTCAATGATTTCAATCTATAAAACCCAACCACCTATTTCTTCTCTTCTTTGATTTAGGGGCCTCCTATGCCCCCGTGTAGCTACATGTACGTCATTGTCTTGGAAAAAGTAATGGGTGATCATATAATTTGGTGGTAAGCTTGTCTTAATTTTAGGAAGCCATTAAACATTAATCTAAAGATGTAAACCTGACTGTTGACCGAATGGTAATTCAACTTCATGAAGACCAGCTAAAGGGATCCGGTAACTTTGTCTCAGAATCTGAAAACATATTCTGGATTTAGCTCATGATGCAATGATAATTATAAACCTTTAGGTCAGTCAGGAACCCCGTGACTTTTACAAGCCGATCGCCTGTCTGATTATCAAGATATTTATGATTGGAATTACAAATTTTGAAAACCGTTCGCCTGACGGTTTTCATAACACTACAGTCTATTGGGGAAAACGAGTATGGTAAAACCGGTCACTCAAAGATTTTTACTTTTTTGAGGCACTTCTTGATCATTTTGAAGCGCATTTTTTTTTAGGGCTTCAATGTTACATCATACCACAGACACTGATAACACGTAGGGCCGTGTATCTCAGATTTAACATTGTTAAACGATCCCTTTAAAAACATTTTTAAAGTACAGTTTTGCACCTAGACCTTGGCGGCGGAGGGGGTCAAACATTCGGGATTATTATCTTCTTCTTTTTGTGTTTAAAAATTAAAATGCCCATAATCTATGAGGTTTCCCCTTTCCTCATTAACTATTAAGTTATCTTTTATCCTTTTACTTGGTCGGAAATACGTCAGGGGGACCGGTCAGTCCCACTTACCTTGCTGTACGACCAATGAAATGAAACTGAAATTGATAACGACCGTTGAAATGCATAACACAATGGACGGGTATCCCCCCTCTGATTAGATATAGTCTACTGTGCACATTGTGATGACACAGGTATGAGCACACTTGACTGGTACAGTGAGTGTACCTGAATAATTATTATTCATCTCATATTTGGTCAGTGCGGTCCGTTTAGCCCATTTCTGTATTACTGTTGGTGTGCAGTCCTGCATACATCTCATATTCTGATTTGTAAACTTCTGAATTTGTTTCATAGAATTTTTAATATTTTTTGAAATATTTGTTTTTCAAACTTGCTAAGCTCCACCCCAAAAACCTCCAGATCTCATTCCCCTTGTGACATCATCAGATTGTCAGTCATCAATGAGCTAACTTGAGAAAGTGATATGTATCTTTGCCGAAGTCGACCACCTGTTACAATACGTAATACAATAGCAACATACAAGTTGCTATGTCAGACATGTTGTAGCATCACAAGGAAGACTAAGGCAATGATGATGTGTTGTACATGTATGGAAGCATGCAATTATAGTATGAACGTGTGGGGGAAATTATGAAGCTGGGGGAAATTACATACCATTGTCTATCCTAGAATATTAGTTTAGTCTGACATGTCTGGCATAGCAACAAACCCCATCATTATATTTTTTACACTTGGGGTGCGTTTGACGGCACACTCTAAACCCCCTTCTAAATAATATATATATATATATATATATATATATATATATATATATATATATATATGTATATATTTATGTAAAACTATATATATAAATATATATATATGCTATGGCCCCGTTAACCATTTTCAACTCATCATAGCCTCAATGAGTATTTATTTTGAACTGTGTAGCGTAGCGTGGGTCCAGACAATGAGGGCTTGCACCTGCATCATTGTAGGGGGCGGCAACGGTTGGTGGATGAAATACAATAAAGAGAAGAAGGGAGGGGTCATTTCATCTTCTTTTCTCATATCGTCTCCCTTTCCATGTTCTTCTCCCCTGTCGCGCGCTCTCTCTCTCTCTCTCTCTCTCTCTCTCTTTCTATTTCTTCTCTTCTTTTATTTAGGGGCCCATATGAACCCGTTTAACTACGTCATTGTCTTGGACAAAGTACTGGTTGGTCATAGAATTTGGTGATAAGTTTATTTTGATTTTAAGAAGCCATGCATTAAACATTCATTTAAAGATGCAAACCTGATTGTTCACAGGATGATAATTTAATTTCATGAAAAGCGGCTAAATCATGAAATAAAAAATAGTCCAGTTTTTGTTTGTTTTTGTTTTTGCAACAAGACCTTGGCTTCAGAGGGGAGGGGGTCAAACATTCGGGATGATTATTTTCTTCCTCTTACGTTGAAAATACAAGATCGTTGTGATTCGGCAAAAGAGATCACCAGAGTACGTGGCATAATAAATGTAAACCGTCATATTCATGTCATATTTTCAATAAAGCATTTATTGTTTACTAGATACAATAAACAGCACTGTGTGCACTTTGAACTTGGCGGTTAATTGAAATGTATGCAGATACCTTTAAATACAATGAATGATCACATGATATGATTTAACCAATGGTGTTGACTAGTGCTATGAATATGTATACCGTGACAAATTCGACGGCGGGGCTTTTAAATTTCATTTGATACTGGTACGATCAAGCAACGATCACAAACTAAACATGGCCTCCGTTAAAACTACAAATTCTAAAATGTCGGTGATCTCTGTGTATAAAGCGTCATTTTCAGGACAAGAAGTGAAATGCTGTTCTATATTTCTTACTATCTTGGGTTGCGTTTATCTAGCAAAATTTTGGCTAGAATCAGGTTTCTCAAACGTCTTTCAGGCAAATTTAGAAGTAGATAAACGCAAAGCCTTTTTCAAACGTCTTTAGATATGGGCATATCTAAAGACGCAAAAAGGTGCGTTTTGAATGTGACATACAGCCAGAATCACGTTTCTGAGAGATCGATAAACGCAAAGCTGTTTTGAACCTCACATACAAATATGACCTCCCAGGTGCTGTGTACAAGCATACGTGTGAAGTTGACCTCCGAGAAACTGTCTGCTTCTCGGGTCAAAACAGCTGGGCAGACACAAGGCCTTTATTTTGAATCGTGAAGGGTCGATAAACGCGACATCCCGAAAATCACGATCGTATAGTGGGGTACGATAGTGGGGTTCGATAGTGGGGTACGATATGTACATATCTAGTGGCAAGCCTAGATAAACGCGCTCCTAGAGATCATGTGCCTGTGTCAGTGCGTTGAAACTCAACGCTCGTCGCCTTGTCATAGGAAATGTTCGTACGTTGAAGCTTTTCAGCAGGCCAACTGTGAATATAGATCATTGGACACTATACCCATCGAATGCAATGCTGCTTCATATTTGTCTCTCCGTTACAATCACATCACCACGATCGAACCTGAGATTTTCAGAGGCTTTCCTTTCTTGAAGTATCTCTTGTTGTCTAACAACAACATATCACATGTAAGTACTGCATTGCAATAAGTACCATTATAAAAAAATATATAAGTGATGTTAGTAGTTAGAGCTATATATTAAGGGGATTTATCTATTAGAGATTAAGATTTCTTGAAATGACTCAATTTGAAGTAGAGGGAATGGGAGAGATCGAGGGGAGACTAAAACTGAACGAGAGAGTAGGGGGATAGAAAAAATATCACTGAACCCGTGTCGTATAAATTGGACAAAGTGTATTTTGGTCTTCTCTTCATAGAGTTCAGTAGAAAATATTGACTTTGGGGGACATTCTCTTCGTAATCTACCATGGGCGTCAATCCTTACGTAATACCTATTGTTCAGGGGGTGAATGAATAGATCATCCCCCCCCCCCTGAACAATAGGTATCAATTACAGATCTACGCCCATGTAATCTACGGAGGGCCAGGAAAGGTGATCGAAAGAAAACAAAACTTTGAAACGTAGATTCGTAAACTAAAGTCCAATTGTCAGACCTGCATGTATATTCTCACTATGTGCCTTAATTTGCGGGGTATGGAAACCGTTGAAACTGGTGGGATAACACAGTTGTAGTCTAATTCAACATTACCATAAGTTACTCCAAATTCCAAGTATGTCGAGCGAAGTACATCTTAACGATAAACTGTTTTTCTTTTGTGTTCAAATGCTGTACGACCAATGAAATGGAAACTGAAATTGATAACGGCCGTTAAAATGCAAACACAATGGACGGGTATCCCCTCAGATACAGTTATAGAACATGGATAATTCATCTCATATTGGGTCCCTGCGGACCGCAGGGACCCAATATGAGATGTCCCCCTTAAATATAGCCAACATGGGGTAATTTATCCTGTAGATCTACATTAATATCTTTTTATGCCTCCGTACACCAGACGTATAGCAGTAACGTATGCCGACGTTTGTGAATTTTAACCAACACGCTAGTGCACGTTGACATAGGTTAGGGCAGGGACGTGATAGAGAAGGACTGGAATCAAGCCGCTCTCCTTTGACCCCATGCTCCAAGCCGCCGAAAAGGTATGCGCTAATCTGCAACTGTTGACCAGGTGGTGAGATAAAAGAGCGCATGACATTTCGGGAGTTAGAATTCCTACATCAGAAAATGGTATCACTGCAACTGTTCGCTGTCCCTTCCAATGATTTCTCATCCATTGTTGAATGTGTAAAGAGTAGAACAAGCGAACACAAACTTGTGTACTTTCATCCTTTTTTAAACTTGAAAAATACAAAAAACACGCGAAAACACGCATTAGCAAACTTAATGTTATTGAAGATTGTAAACCATGGATCAAATAACGGGACATTAAAGCATGCACAAATTAGCGCATCATCCTAAAATATTGAGTTTTTGACAGGACGTAATTTTTCTTTTACCAACTCTGGCACACAAATTAAAGGAAGGACGGAGTTTTAAATTTGAAAATTTGTTTGATGCACTATTCCCAATAAAATCCCCATATAAAGTTTTTGATTTACACTAAAATTTTGCCGGTAATTTAATATTTTGTAATAAATGTAAAACTGGTGCCTGGCTTCCGAAAGTCCCCGCAGTGGAAGCGCGGTTCGGAGCATAGAACTTCAAAGCCAAGTGGAATGTTACACATCCCATTGTTACGCTTTAGAACTCAAGAATGCGTTTGAATAAATTACAAGAATAAAATTCAAACGTGGTTTATTTCTAATTCCATAACGGTGGTTACAAATAACGCTGATATGACATAATTTTCCGAGATTTTTCCTCACTTTTTTAGTAAATTATACTTTTTTATGCGTTTGTTGGAAAATGACAAATTCCTAAATTTACAGCCAGGCAAGAAATATGCTTCCTGAGATGCCTACATTTCAGGGCCCGGGGAACGGCGGGGATCGGGAGCCTCAAGCTCCCTCCCCCCACCCCCCCCTTTTTTTTGAAAAAGTATATTAAAGAGAAATAGAAAGAAAGAGTGCAAGAAAGAAAGAATAGTTAACCCCTGAGCTTCCGGGGGCTACGCCCTCTCGACCCCACCAGGGCCCTAAGGCGGGCCCCTGAATGCTTATCTGACTGTAATTTATTGCCTTAAACCCCTAAGCTTCCGGGACCTGACAAGGTATCAAAATATGTTCATCTGTGAGGCCCCAGGATCAAAACCGTGTCGATGTGCCATATTAGTGCCCTTTTGTGGGGCATTAATCCTCATTACTGTTATTTATGACTTAAGGGGGTAGGTCCCCTAGTTGATAAGCATAGTAGCATACACATGTTTTAGCAGTCACGCAAAACACACATTGGCAAATAATTAGTCAATGAAATCTGAGAATGTATACTATTATCTAGATCTATTTTTTTTTTTTCTTCAAAATAATTCCATCAATTGGGGTTCAACAAAAATATTCCAACTATATGAGCGACAGTGAGTTCAAATAGCGACCCATCTCATTATCAATTAAAGTAATTTCAGTGTATAATGGGTGTAAAATGACAACAAAATATTTTGTGGGGTAGAAGGGCTTTTATTGCACATAGAAGAGGGAGATGCTACATATTTTGTTTCTCTCAATTGGCACCTTTGTCATATAAGTTTAGACTATCGGAGGTAAAGTTTGACTGATCGCAATAAGGATAACTCCATAGTTGTCTATACATTAGATCTCTACATTGAATTGCTATGCTGGAGATTTTTTACAAGGCCTTTCTAAAACAAAATGTGTTATCTTATCTTACCTCCAGCTCAAAGCAAATACGTTTATGGGGGCACCTCAACTGAAGTCAATCAAGCTTCTCTACAACAATCTACAAACATTCGATGGATATGCGCTGAATGGAACAGAAAATAGTCTCCGACACATCTACCTGAGTAGGAATTCGCTACGAGTCATAGAAAATGGAACCTTTCAACTCGTACCGAAGCTAGAGGTTATTGACCTCTACCAGAATCACCTATATCCACTGACTTCAGGGGTCTTCCAAGAATTAAAGAACCTGGAAAAGCTCCTCCTCGGCATGAACAAACTCTTTGATCTTCCTGAAGATATCTTCAAAGACCTATCATCGTTAGTTTACCTGGATCTGTCCAACAATTCTCTCTCATCCCTTACCATTGATCTCTTTGTGCATATGGATCATCTGATGATTATTGATCTCTCTGGGAACAGGTTGGTTGCTATTGGCAATGTTCTTAATCTTCCAAACATTCGGTTGGACTTATGTCGGAATAGTCTACGTCAACTTGGCAATGTGACTTTGGAAATCTTGACAAACAATATTGAATTTCTGCTTTTGGAAGGCAATCCATGGAACTGTACCTGTAGCTTAGAGCCGTTGCGTCAATGGTATCAAAAACTCTCTATAATCAAAGATGGAAATGTCAATATTGATAACCCGATATGTACTCATCCAAATGATCTAGCAAATCAGTTGATAAATTCTTTGAACTTTTCTCTTTGCCACGACATAGTAGCTAAAAGTACGCAAACTTCTAGGTTAAACGTCAACCATGATGACAGTCAGATTAGAAATACCCTAATAGCTACTGACCAGATGTACCAAGATGTCTCTGGAAAAACTGAAACTAGTGACATAGATTGTAAATTGAATGTTATCATTGTTGTGGTTGTTGTAGCGTTTGTCGTAATAATCGTTATCGTCTCTTTCATAATCCTCAGGGTAGTTTTGTTAAAGAGGCGTTCCAATGATATAAAAGCAAATAAAAACTCTGAAAGTAACGGACGAGGAAACTGGGGTGGGAACAAAACCAGTATACAAATGGAGACAAAGGAACGGAGAAATAGTTTATCGGAGGAAGAAGAAGAAGGAGACGTTAATGAACGCACACCATTAAAACGCGAGAGAAATCGTGGAGACATAGATCTGACACCAAAGGAAAGAACATGCAGGAAAAATTTGTTTTGAATAATAGTTATGAAAACACACACCGTTGTGTCTAAATTCATATACTGTTTAACCCTTCCACATGGTTCCTTTATTGATTATACAATATTAAAGATACAAATTATACAATATAACATTTACAATCAAGTATAATTTCTCCTTGCCACTTTAGAATACATGAAAATCTTATAGATAGGCAAAAATCATTTTAAGAAGCATTCAGAGAGTTTAAATTAAAAAAAAGATAATTGATAGTTTCAAACAAGAAGTTGAGAGAAACGAAATGTCAATCTCAAAGCCGGACCATTAGACTAAATTTTGCCAAGGGATTAGCAATGTTTTATTTTGTATATTATATTCTAATTTCAAAATGTTAACCACCTACCCTCTCAAATCACCAACTCATCAGCCGAAACTTGCCAAAATACAGACGGCCATTCTTTCGAAGCTCGTACTCACCGGTCCACACCAGCGTGTGAGAAAAGGCAAAAAGAAGCTAAGTCATCGGATTTACGAAAAAATACACAATGAAGAATTAAATCAAGTGAAGGGTAGTAATTGAAAATGTAGCAAAAATCAATTTGCTAAGAGAAGTTGAAAGCAGTAAAATTTGTGTCAATATCTCCTTTTTGTCGTGGTATCGTGCGCCGTCGTAGCATAGCAGGCCTCATATGTATATTATTTAGTTTTCCAAATTGTAAATTGTATATAGGCCTATGTATAATGCTGGTAATATATCGTAAGAGCGTTAAAGTTGTACATACATGTATATAATAGCAAATCTTCTCTTTTTTGTAAATGGTGCAAATATTACCAGTGCCTGTTTGTGAGATAGTGGGCCCCGTCTTATAAAGAGTTGCGATTGATCCAAATCAATCACAAGTTTGCAATCTCCCATCTCTTATGTACATATATAAGTTGCAATTAATATCAACTCTGTATAAGACGGGCCCAGTGGTCCGATGTAAAATGAAATACATTATAATCATCGATCATCCCATTTGGAAGTGTAATATTCGTGTTCTTGAACTTTTAGCTGTACATACATACATATACATACATTTTCTTCTTTATCGAAGTGATGCAATTGTGTTTCTTGCCAGTGCGACATGTGGCGCATAACGGGAAGCACAAGTCGCAAACAAAATTAATTCAATGAGATTTGTGTTTACAACCATTTTCATAAATATACATTTTGTTTTATTATTTCTTTCATGCTATTTCAGATTCTTAATTATGCTATTTAATGAAGCGTACTAAGAATATCTCGATATTTACAATGAACAGTTTAAATTATTATCTCTTGCAATCGTCTAAATATCCAATTCATGTATTCCTTGAACAGACAAATGTATATACAAAGCAATGACGCCACGCAATAAAATTTGTATTTTCCAAAATCCTTTCCTTTTGTATTATGTATTGGTATGGTTATGTCTATTTCCATTCTTAAACATGCTGTGGGAGCCAATACAACAACAAAAAAGCGAAATTATGCTAGAAAGATATGAAAATGAGAGAGAGAGAGAGAGAGAGAGAAAAAAAAAAAAGAGAGAGGGAGAGAGAGAGAGAGAGAAAAGGATGTGGAAGAGAATAGAAGGAGTCGCGACAATCCTTAGTTAAGAATGTGTATCTGCAAAATTGCAATGCATTCTCAAAATCTCACACTCCTCGATTTGGAAATGATTATAACAGGGGGTGATCACCTCCCTGATCATGATAAACAAATAATAACAAAAAGTGGGGATTTTTTCATTATCAGTAGACAATACCATGTTAAAGGGTACTTTTAATTCTAAACTTCTTATATATATATATAATTATATAAAATGTATATTTTGATTTGATTTAGTTTTTCTACCAAAATATCCAAAATTAAAATAACATATATAAACCATAAAGTATTACAATATATAGTACAATAAACAATCTCTCTCTCTCTGTCTAACTCTGTCTCTCTTTATCTCTCTCTCTCTCTTTCTCTCTCTCTCTCTTTCTCTCTCTCTCTTTCTCTCTCTCTCTGTATCTCTCTCGCTATCCAAAACAGAAGGGAGGTAAATGAAGGAGGACGAACTAGACATACTGGCCTACTGCAGGGGCTTGGGGATGCTGCCCTCCCCCCCCCAAAAAAAAAAAGTTCCACGCCCACAAAAGAAAGAAAAGAGAATAAACAATAGAAGGTGAAGGGCTAGAAAGAAAAAATTGCCATTTCGTTTATCACTACTTTCTTTCATAATAATTGTATTGGTCACATCAAGTATATTTTACAGTCAACCCATTAAAGTACGTTTTTAAGGACCTATTATCATTCGTTTTTTTGAGGAAGTCTTCCTAATTAGTTATATTTTTTAGATGTATAAGTCCTTTTCATTTTTACTGCTAGGAGTCAAATTCTCTACTATATTTCTTACCATCTTGATCATGTGCCTGTGTCAGTGCGTTGAAACTCAACGCTCTTCGCCTTGCCATAGAAAATGTTCGTACGTTGAAGCTTTCCAGCAGGCCAACTGTAAATACAGATCATTGGATACTATATTATATACCCATCGAATGCAATGCTGCTTCGTATTTGTCTCTCCGTTACAATCACATCACCATAATCGAACCTGAGATTTTCAGAGGCTTTCCTTTCCTGAAGTATCTCTTACTATCTAACAACAACATATCACATGTAAGTACTGCCTTGCAATTAGTACCATTATAAATATATATATATATTATAAGTGATGTTAGTAGTTAGAGCAATATAAGGGGAATTTTTTTTGGGTGTGTTTTGGAGGAAACCCCCCCCCCCCTTAATTTTAATACAAAATATAAAAAAATATTTTAAAAATTGTGCTATTGGGTGACCAAAAAATGTGCTCTTACCCCTCCCCCCCCCCCTTCCCCGCTTATTCAGCGGCTGGCTGAGTCGTTACGAAATTTTGAAACCCCCCCCCCCCCTTCGAAAAAAAAATCCTGCGTACGCGCCTGAGGAGATGTATCTGACAATTAGAGATTGAGATTTCTAGAAAAGACTCCACTTGAAGAAGGGAGAGAGGAGGAGGGGAGAATAAGGCAGAACAAAAGAGAAGGAGAGTTAGAGAAAATATCAATGAACCCGTAGTGTATAGAGTTCAATGGGTAATATGGAGTGTATTTTGGTCTTCTCTTCATAGAGTTTAGTAGAAAAATTTGAGTTTTGGGGGTATTCTCTTCATAATCTTTCGAGGGCCAGGAAAGGTCATCGAAAGAAAACAAATATTTGAAATGTAGACCTGTAAACTAAAGTCCAATTATCATGTTTTGTGATCCATAGACCTGCTTGTATTTTTTCACTACTTTGTAGTTGGGGGTATATATGGAAACCCGTTGACACGGGTTGGATAACACTGTTTTTAATTAGTCTTTTATCAAAATTATCATATGTTACTCCGAATGCACAGGATGTCAAGCGTAGTAAATCGAAACTATAAACTGCTTGTCTTTTGTGTTCAAATGCTGTACGACCAATGAAATGGAAACTGAAATTGATAACGACCGTTGAAATGCACAACACAATGGACGGGTATCCCCCTCTGATTAGATATAGTCTACTGTGCACATTGTGATGACACATGTATGAGCACACGTGATTGGTACGGCGAGTGTACCTGAATAATTATTATTCATCTCATATTTGGTCCCTGCGGTCCGTTTAGCCCATTTCGTACCCTTCAAAATAGCCGACATGGGGTAATTTATCCTGTAGATCTACATTAAAGGGCCCATGACATCGAAATACAAGTGTATTCATGTTGGTGTGCAGTCCTGCATACATCTCATATTTTGATATGTAAACTTCTGAATTTGTTTCATAGAATTTAAAATATTTTTTTAAACATTTGTTTTTCGAACTTGCTAAGCTCCACCCCAAAAACCTCCAGATCTCATTCCCCTTGTGACATCATCTGTAAGTCATCAATGAGCTAACTTGAGAAAGTGATATGTATCTTTGCCGAAGTCGACCACCAGTTACAATACGTAATACAATAGCAACATACAAGTTGCTACGTCAGACATGTTGTAGCATCACCAGGAAGACAAAGGCAATGATGATGTATTGTATATGTATGGAAGCATGCAATTATATTATGAACGTGTGCTAAGCTGGGGGAAATTACATACCATTGTCTATTCTAGAATATTAGTTTAGTCTGAAATGTCTGGCATAGCAACTTATATGTTGCTATTGTTTGTGGTATTGTAACAGGTGGTAAACCTTGGCAAAGTTACATGCCACTTTCTCAAGTTAGCTCATTGATGACTGACAGATGATGTCACAAGGGGAATGAGATCTGGAGGTTTTTTAGGTGGAGCAAGTTTGGAAAACAAATGTTTCAAAAAATATTTAAAAATCTATGAAACAAAGTCAGAAGTTTAAGGTAAAGTTTGACTGATCACAATAAGAATAACTTCACATTTTTCTAAAACCGAATGGCTTTATTAGATCTTTACATTGATATAGGAAATCGCTTTGCTGGAGATCTTTTTACAAGGCCTTTCTCAAACAAAATCTGTTATGTTATTTTACCTCCTCTAGATCGAAGCAAATAAATTTATTGGGGCACCTCAACTCAAGTCAATCAAGCTCCTCTACAACAATCTACAAACATTCGATCGATATGCGCTGAATGGAACAGAAAATCGACTCCGAAACATCTACCTGAGTAGGAGTTCCCTACGAGTCATAGAAAATGGAACCTTTAAACTCGTACCGAAGCTAGAGGTTATTGACCTCTACCAGAATCACCTATCTCAACTGAAGTCAGTTTCTGGTAGAGGGGGTCTAGAATCAGGGGTCTTCCAAGAATTAAAGAACCTCGAACGTCTTTTCCTCGGCATGAACAAACTCCTTGATCTTCCTGAAGATATCTTCAAAGACCTATCGTCGTTAGTTTACCTAGACCTGTCCAACAATTCTCTCTCATCCCTTACCATTGATCTCTTTGTGCATATGGATCATCTGATGACCATTGATTTCTCTGGAAACAGATTGGTTGCTATTGGCAATGTTCTTAATCTTCCAAACATTCGTCTGTTTCTGGAAGGCAGCCCGTAGGATTGCAGATGTGACTTGGAGCCATTGCGTGAATGGTATTAACAACTATCCATAAGCAACGATGAAGACGTCAAGATTGATAGTCCCGTATGCTTTGGTCCCAGTGAAGTAGCAAATCTTACAATAAGCATTTTGAATGCTACTTTATGTACGGAAACGCCAGCAAGGATGAAAATACCCGAGATGAACATCAAAATCAGTACCTCATCAGTTGATAGTCGGAAGAATGATGTCGTAAACACTGACCGTCTACATGTACAAGAAAATGCTGAAATAAGTTACAGAGATGACACACGTCAGGTGGTCATTATTGTTGCTACTGTAGTCGTGTTTGGTGTACTATTACTTTTCATAATCGCACTGGTCATTGTAAGAAAATATAAGAAGCATTCAGAGTATTCAAATCCAAATAAAGACATTAAACGTACCCAACCATAAGTTGAGAGAAACGAGATATCAATCTGTAATCAGGACCATGAGACTAAGATTTGCCAAGGGGCTTGCAATGTGTTTTATTTTGTATATTCTAATTTCATCAAGTGGCTCGGCGACCCCGCACTAACGACCCCTAAAGCCAAAATATCAACCACCTCTCCTTGCAAATCTCCTACTCATCTGCTGAAACTTGCCAAATTACAGACGGGTCATTCTCTCGAATCTCCTACCCACCAGTCCACACCAACATGTGGGAGAAGGGAAAGAGAAACTACGTCATCGGAAGTGCGTAAAAGAAACAGTGGAGAATCGAAACAAGTGAAGGGTACTAACCGAAAATGTAGAACAAATCTTTTTGATAACCGAAATGAAAAGCAGTGAAGTTTGTGTAAATATCTTTCTTTGGGTCGTAGCTTTAAAAAAACGTGTTCCTTTACGTAACAGGCCCTAGATGTACATATCATTGGCTTTCCGATAAAAATTGTCTGTTGTTGATAATGACATGTGTGTACTTATATTGTGTATGCATATTGCTTCTATTGTAGCGTACTAGCGTTAGAGTATACAATGATAGCATTTAATTATTATAAGAATTGGAAGGTCAATATCTTCATCATTTTTATTATTCCCATTTGATATCACAACGGAAAATTATGCAGTTTTCTTGTATCATAGCAATAAGTCAATTATCGATGTTCCAGATAATATATCACCACTTGGGAAGTTAATATAGGTCGTTAAATGTGAGAAATTGCAACAGAACGGTAATAAATATAAGCTTAAATGTAAGCAGTCTAGGAGCAAATTTTTGCTGGAGGAAAATTTGAACTAATTCGAAATCCTGTGCATATTACACAGCTATAATACTTTAGTGAAACGTAGCTACATGAAAATATTAACGTAATAGTGATATTTACAATAAAAGCTTATTTATGGAAAAATCATAATGGTGACGATGCAACAATACAGCTCTACATAAAGAAATAATTTCGCAGCGATAAACATTACCATTGTTGATTGCTGGTTTGTGCATGCCGTCTTTCTTAAAGTACATTTGATTTTTTTTTGTTTAATATTTTGAAGAATTGCTTATATCATGATGAAGTTCATCAAGATATTATCATAATTTTGGGACACAGTACTGTTACCAATGTGCTTTACAACGGCAAAAATCGCCTAAATTAGACCGGTACTGTCGTTACTCGTTGAAACAAATTAATCAGGGATATACGCACGAAACGGACACCCTATAAGACTATTACTATCGGTCTCGCGGGCATAACTTTTCTGACGGTTTACGTGTTTACCAAGTCTTCATTATCAGTTTTTGTAAGCTGTTGGTGGAGGGATCGATGTCCCGATATACAATAATATATTGATTTATTTTTAAGTCAATTATAACACGTTCGAAGGTGTAAAAAAATATACACTAGAATCTTTGATCAACCATATAGAAATCTTAAGTACTTGATCTTGAACTTTAAGCTGTACATACATGTACTTTAAAAAAACCTACAAGTCCAAAACAAAAACCCAATTAAATTTTTGGTTACAACCTATTTAGTAATTAATGAAGCGTTTTATAAATCTGTCGATATTTACAATGAAAAGCTTTGTTTCCATTTCGTGCAATTCCTTAATGTCGAAATTATGCCTCCTTGCAGAGATAAATGTACATACCTACAAGCAACGCAATAAAATTTTGTATTTTCCAAATGTCTTTTCCTCCGTATTTTTGTTGGTGTGGTCAAGTCTATTTGCATTCTGAACAATGTTGCGGACATGCAAGTTGTGATGAAGGCAAGTAGATAATATTAAGATGGATATAGAAAATGGGATCTTGGAGAGACAATGCATGACTGAAGAAGTAAAGGAGCGAAAGTATGCATGAGAAAGAGAGAGAGAGAGAGAGAGAGAGAGAGAGAGAGTGAGAGAGAAATGGGTGAGGAAGAGAAAAGAAAGGAGTTGCGACTTTCCGTAGTTAAGGTGGGTACACTGCATAAAAGCAAAGCATTCTCATAATTGTTAATCTCCCCACTCCTCGATTTGGAAAAGTTATGAATATGCTCTTCATCTTGCGGAAAAGGTTCAAGTATGTCCAGTTATTGAGAGAATACTCCTCCCGAAAAATGGCATGATTATAATAAACAATAACAAAACGTTGGAATTTTTTTCATTAGGCCAACAACAAAAAATTATTTGGTTGTCCTCGACCGCCCGCTCGTAATTTTTTTTTTTTTTTTTTTTTTTTTTGTAATTCAATTATTATTTTTTACGGGGGGGGGGAGCAATCTTAAATGCCAAACATACCATTTATGCATTTGCAAGGATCAAAATGCGTCCCGTTGCCAGTTTGGTCTTTTCAGTACGCAATTCTGTATTTATTAAACTTGCTATTTTTATTTTTCTATGTCAAAATGCCGTTCATTCAATTCAGGTTCTGAGCATTCTTAAACTCATTTTAAGCTCATCTGTACTAGTTTACAGGAGGGGTTAGACCACCCTGCAAGGTCACTGGACAGGTGGTTATCTCTTAAAATCAGCTCTCAGTTAACATAAGATAAAGAGGACCATGGGGGACCAATGGTTACCGATTAGGCATTGTTTGCTATATAGAGGGCGCAAGTAGCTATAAGTAGTACAATGGAGATTAAAAAGGTGCTGTCTTTCAAAGCCAAAAATACTTTCTGTACATAGTACATAACGTATAGTGAAAGGGAATGTGCGATGATCCGTGTAGGAGGTAGAGGTCAGTGGTTTGTGCTGGCAATGTTCACGCGAGCGAAAATGAGACAATCGGAGCAATATGTTACTCGTTGAAACAAATTAATCAGGGATATACGCACGAAACGGACACCCTATAAGACTATTACTATCGGTCTCGCGGGCATAACTTTTCTGACGGTTTACGTGTTTACCAAGTCTTCATTATCAGTTTTTGTAAGCTGTTGGTGGAGGGATCGATGTCCCGATATACAATAATATATTGATTTATTTTTAAGTCAATTATAACACGTTCGAAGGTGTAAAAAAATATACACTAGAATCTTTGATCAACCATATAGAAATCTTAAGTACTTGATCTTGAACTTTAAGCTGTACATACATGTACTTTAAAAAAAAAAAAAAATGCGTCCCGTTGCCAGTTTGGTCTTTTCAGTACGCAATTCTGTATTTATTAAACTTGCTATTTTTATTTTTCTATGTCAAAATGCCGTTCATTCAATTCAGGTTCTGAGCATTCTTAAACTCATTTTAAGCTCATCTGTACTAGTTTACAGGAGGGGTTAGACCACCCTGCAAGGTCACTGGACAGGTGGTTATCTCTTAAAATCAGCTCTCAGTTAACATAAGATAAAGAGGACCATGGGGGACCAATGGTTACCGATTAGGCATTGTTTGCTATATAGAGGGCGCAAGTAGCTATAAGTAGTACAATGGAGATTAAAAAGGTGCTGTCTTTCAAAGCCAAAAACTATTATTTATTAAACTTGCTATTTTTATTTTTCTATGTCAAAATGCCGTTCATTCAATTCAGGTTCTGAGCATTCTTAAACTCATTTTAAGCTCATCTGTACTAGTTTACAGGAGGGGTTAGACCACCCTGCAAGGTCACTGGACAGGTGGTTATCTCTTAAAATCAGCTCTCAGTTAACATAAGATAAAGAGGACCATGGGGGACCAATGGTTACCGATTAGGCATTGTTTGCTATATAGAGGGCGCAAGTAGCTATAAGTAGTACAATGGAGATTAAAAAGGTGCTGTCTTTCAAAGCCAAAAATACTTTCTGTGTTGGTCTTGATATTCATTGTACATTAAACTAGTCACCATATTAACCTGTTGACTACTGAATTCTCTAATTCCCACAGGGACCACCCGGTTCTAGTAAGCAATGGGTTAAAGTGTTTTATAGACTATGTTTGTTTAAATGCTTGACATCCCAATTATTATTTTTTTTTTTTGGAAAAAAATTATTTTAAAAAAAAAAATCAAAAAATGAAGCTAAAAAAATTATTAAAAAATTAAAAAATAAATTTAAAAAAAAATAAATAAATAAATCCGCCCGCCCACCCCTGCTGTTGGCCTTATCAGTAGAAATACCGTGTAATATCTCTTTCTTGATTTCTCTCTCTCTTTCTCTCTCTCTCTCTCTCTCTTTGCCTCTTTCTCTCTCTCTCCTTTTCTCTCTCTCTCTGTATAATATATATATCTTTGACAAATAGCTTTCATGCTATATTGCATTTCCTTTTATACTTTTATGTTATTGTATAAAACGGTTTATACCTATTGCTATATGATTAATATTGGATGAAAATTCTCAAGTTCAAGTTTGATAATAATAAAGATTTACATTTGTATTACGCACGTATCCTTTCCAGGCTATGCTCAAGACACCCTTGAAGTAGTATTATTACCCTGGCTTCAGCCCATCTGCCCTGTGGCGCTCAAAGCATTCATGGAATAAATACCTATCAGGTACCCATTTACTGGGTGAAGAGTGGCAGGACTCGAACTGCGAATTATATGATCCATAAGACATATCCACTAGATCACGACACCCCTATCAAATCAAAGTATT